CTTGACTTGTGCCATTTCGATATTCAGCAGGCTTTTGTGCAGTCTGAGCTTGATGAGGATGTTTTCATGCGCTTACCGCAGGGGTGTGGTATGTTGTCTGGCCTGATCGTGAAGCTGTGCAAGAGTCTGTATGGCTTGAAGCAGGCATCACGACATTGGCATGCGCACCTGACGAGGTGTTTGTTACTTTTAGGTTTTTTGCAGTGTCTGGCAGATGCGTGTGTTTTTCGCTTGATGGAGGAGGGACGTGTGATCATGATCATCGTGGTCCACGTGGATGACATTTTTGCTGTAGGGCAGAAGGAGAGGTGTGACAAGTTTGGCGAGGACCTCAACGAGATGGTCCCCGTGAAAAACCTTGGAGAGTTGAGGTGGTACTCTGCGTGCTTTTACGAGAGAGACGTAGAGAGAGGGCTGTTGAGGATTTCGCAGCAGAGGTTTGCCGAAGAGTTGGCTGCAGAGTACGGAATTGAGTGGGGGAGGAGTGTGCCCTTGCCTGTGAGCGTGAAGCTCACCGACTTTGACGAGAACGAAGCGAGTGCTGATGTCCCTTTTCGCGAGTTGGTAGGATCTCTGATGTGGTTGGCCACTCAAACAAGGCCGGACATCGCGAACGCAGTACGAGCAGTAGCGCGGTATTGTGCATCTCCCAAGATGGTGCACTGGAAGGCAGCACTCGGTATTTTAGGGTACGTACGGAGGACGAGTTGGATGGGGATTACATTTGAGAGGGGAGTGGTGACTGGGATGAGCATGCAGGTGTTTGTGGATGCCGACTATGCAAGCAAGGCGACAGACCGTAGATCGGTGTCAGGAGGGCTAGTGATGTGTGGGGGAGGGTGTGTGACTTGGTTTTCGAGGACACAAAAGTGTGTCACGCTTTCCACCACGGAAGCAGAGTATGTGGCAATTGCCGATGTCTTGAAGGAAGTGTTGTTCTTGAGGCAGGTGTGGCGTTTTATGTTGCCAGATGCGAGTATGCCGTGCATCCCGGTGTTCGAGGATAATCAGGGAGCGATTCAGATTATGCACAACCCGATCACGAACTCCAACTCGAAGCACATCGATGTACGGCATCACTTTATCAGGGAGCTGGTAGAGAGGAAAGAGATTTCAATTACTCATGTGCCGACGCAATTTCAGCATGCAGATTTCTTGACGAAGGCTATTAGCAAGGAGTCTTTTGCGTTGCACCGTGACTTTGTGATGAACTTGCAGTGAAGGAAGTGTTTTGGGGTCAATTCGTATTCTGTAGCGGAGAGAGGAAGGGAGAGACGAGATCGGACAAGAGAAAGAGAGAGTCTGATGACGGTGGTAGGCGTGTTGAAGTTAGTTGTGTTAAGATTTTTCTTGTTTGGTTTGGAGGAGTTTTAGTTATGTTGGAATTTTTCTTGTTTGTTTTGGAGGAGTTTTGGTTGTGTTGGAATTTTTCTTGTGATTGACTTGGGAGGGTTCTTGCATGTCGTGGGGAGGATATTGGATTTGGATGCTTTGAGAATTTTCTTGTTTGTTTTGGGAGAGAGAGATGGTAAAAGAGGAATTTGGTTTTTGCCTTAGCATGACGATGCATACGAGCAGGGGGGCTATTAGATATATTGGGGGTACTCGTAGCATAGTATGACGGGTAAGATCTTCGGTACGTTCGTACGGAAATCGCAGTGATGACATGCGGAGGAATCAGAGAGATCCGTTTGGTAGTTTGAGCGTGATGAGCGTGACGCGTGCTTGATGCCATGACAGATTTACGAGCACGAGCACGCCCCAGAAGAATACAATACGTTTTCCTATACGTCCCTCCCCTACCACGGCCCGTCATGGCCCAGCTGCTCTACACTCCCAACACACAGAACTGAGCCACCCGAATTATCGATCAGGTGACCCTCTGGTGCCTTCAACCTCGACCGGGTGCGAAGGAGGACAACACAGCAGTACTCCATCTCGACCGTAGCGACCGATTAGAACTATTCAACGGACCTCCGGTGACTCGTGACTGCCCCAACAAGGTGCAAAAGCCGGGAGGCTCCACGACCGTAACGGTCGTCGCGACGGCATCGAAGCGACAAGAAGCGGTCACTTGAGTACGACTCCTACGTCGCCGAGACGAAGGACCAATCACGTGCTGCCACGATCCAGCACTCTCTCAACCAACGACACGACGTGCAGCTAGGTTGAACTGTACAAAAGGTAAATAAAGCGAACCGGAAAGGACAGAGAAGGTGCCTTTTGTTTCAATCCAAGCAACTTCGCTGCCGGTTTCGCCAAAGGTTACGCCTACACCAACCGGCACTCGGTCGGTTCACGCGCCGGAGTTCACACCGTACTACGCTGGGTGCGTTCTTTCGTGATGTGGTAGACAACGGTGCGTCGGGATTCGCGGCAACACAAGACACGTGTGACGTGTACAACAACACTAACATCGGGGGAAAAATGACCTTCGAGACCCTTCGTGTACAACATTCAAACTTGAACCTACCTGACGGAGAACGTGATCGAAAGAAACAAGAAGACCACTTGGATTTACCACCGAAGGCATGGCTTACAATACCGCGTCCACCAGACACCGAAACTGACCTTTTTTGCAGAAAAGCCGCACCTGAACACGGAACACTATCAAAACCCGTCCGTTCACCCTGCCCGATGTGGGAAACCACGCCACGCCACCCGCGGCAACATCAACGAGGACAGGGCCGCGAGACGTCGGGCGAAAGACTACCACGTTGATTATCACCAACGCCTGCAGAAACTGAAGCTATGTTATCACCGCAATCAGTTGTCGGAGGAAGCCTGCCGCAGCCAATAATTCGGCCACGAACCGCGCGTGAGCAACCCTGAACAGCAGCCACGTCGAGCAAGGAAAACACCTATTTTTTCTGTTTGCATACATACATACATATGACGGCGTTCTTCGTACCCTTGCAGAGATCTACGCTACGCTACGCCTACGACGAGTCATTAAGGTCGCCCATAAAGCTATTACGCATTACACAATTTTGTTTGCACCAAACTGGTACATGTACAGTAGTACGTGACGCAATTTATCACACACCCCGGACAGATTGGCAAAGAAAGCTCGATTGCTCCACAAAGGAAGAGTGGTGGTGCCGAAAAACGTTGCGTTGGAACTGCTGTCTCGTCGAGAGAGGTGTCACTTGATTTATTCATCCTCGTGGTCGTGGAGTACTCGAGCTTCGAAAATCGGTCCAGCGGGTGTTTCATCTTTCTCATATCACCTACTAAGGCAAATAAATGTGCGCTAACAATGTACCCGAACCGCGCACGAAGTATCGTCTCTTAGAGTACCCCTTGAGGGTGTCACCTACAGTACAATTGTACACGGCCTCCACCCCTGGTGGCGACGGACTTAAAAGAGGTGACAACAAACTGCAACAAACCGTGAAGTGGGTAAGCACGTCGTTGGAGAGCAAGGGGTGCGATCGGACTTAACAGAGGTGACAACAAACAGCAACAAACCGTGAAGTGGGTGATCACGTCGAAGAGCAAAGGGGTGCAATCGATCGCAAGCAACCATCGTCGTGGAAAAAAACTAAGGCGGGGAACGACGTGATGCCGTGCGACTTGGTGCCCTTCAATCACCGGCGTTAGATCACACGCGCCCCCACTTCGCTTCAAGCACAAAAGTATTCTAAGCCTGGTCGCATACAGAAGACTATTCAACGTAACGAACGGCTGTTCATTCGTCAACACCAGATGCAGACTAAAGAGAATGTTTCCTGCGCTGCCACGTGGCGAGCAGACACGCGCGCGAAGTACCTCATCATCCATCCCGTGGATACTCTTTCCCGCTATTAAGTTCAAGACGGCTGCCTCTGATCTCCCGGCTCGTCTTGCTTGGTTTCTTGGCCGACCTTGCTTGGTGGTCGCTAGCGGCTACTACGGTAGAAGGCGTATATGTAGTAGAAACCACAAGCATTTGCTAACAACGATGTGTTCGTCCGAGTAAGGGTGAAGGGTGACGCCTATTCGCGGTACATCGAAAAGAAATCCCGGGAAAGAGCGCAACTGACCCCAAGACGGAGGTGCTGCCCATGGTGGACAACCAAGGTTGAACGCGGTCTGTTCGGCGTCGTGCAATCGTGCGCTCTGCCATGTGGCACCATGGACCGACGCGTCCTGTGATATTCGATATCGCCCCCACGAAATCGGACATGCACGTAAGTCAATGAATACTAAATACGTAGTCTAATCGACAAGGTTCACTGACTGGCAGTAAGGTCACCATGGTCAGCGGATCAAGAGGGGCACCACGAACGTTTCGATATAGCCGACGTGCACGGAGAAATCATTCGTTACAAAGGGTATGGCAGCTAACCGCAACACGTATGCATACGGCGGGAGGGGAAGCGTGGAAAAGTTTGGATGGTGGCAAGATGGTAGGATGGAACGGTAGACAGACATCAACCTATCCCCGGTGGATGCCAAGTCCTCCTGGAGGGCAATGACTCTCCAACGGGCTGCTGCCAGACCACGGACACCCGGTGATTGGTCGGCACCGAGTAGCTGGCAACGCCGGGCACGACCTCGCTGGGCAGCACATGATCAAGGAACCCACGAGGCCGCGCAATAAACCTGCGCAGGCCAACATTACCCTAGCCAAGCACATAGACTAGACTTTTCAATAATGTTCGACGATACGTTTTTATGTATCCCCTTCAAATGAGGGCACATCATTACGTCGGCACAGTTGCACTACTGATGAGATGCTTCTTTCGTAGCCACAATATCGACAAGAACCACAAGGTGACAAGAGGCGAACGTACGTAACACCAGTTTCTTACGGGGAGGATGCTTCGCTTTGTGCTTTGTTCTCGCAGCAAAGATGGATTCCGTTTCTCATCGACCAACAAAAGGTAAAAGAATCGGGGCTTGAAATCACTGGGCTACGGATTGAGGGAACAAGGCTACTGGTACGCCTCTGGGGTTAGGATTTCGGGGGGTAAGGGGCTTGGTCACGTAGTCTATGAGGTCCACCGGTCATGCATGTGAAAGTATTGAGCTGTCCGGCGCTGGTTATCCTTACCCAATCCGCGGTTATTATGTTGTCCCGCGATGATTTTTCAGATGAGAAAACGAAGCCTCCTGAGCTACAGAAATATGAGACGATCAATTGCCTGCCATGCTTGAGCTTTTGACATTCAAACAGCTCATCGGCATGTTATGTGTTGGTTGGGCTGCTGTACCACTCACTCCAGCGCATTAAGCTCGGAGCCGAAGTCACCGGCCATCGGTTATGGCAAGCAGACCAGCACAGCTACACGAGGTGCTACTGGAGCTGCTGGTAACTGCTTGATGGGGACCAAACGACGACACAGACAAACGCGTTGGCGCAGACAAGCACCAGAAGGGACTCATTCGTCCCAAAAGACCATCAATCGGTGCCGCTCTGTGCTCTGTTTCGTCAACCTTCTGCAACGCAAGCAAGCCAGGGCCACCGGTTCGAGGGGTTCTAAAGTTCATTCTCAAACACGGGCAACAACCGGAGGAGGCGATTTCGATCACTACGGAACGCTTTCCATCCGTCCACCCCTTCTACAAAAAATCGCATGCTATTCCAGGACCCATGGTCGGTCAGGAATAGCATAGCCGAAGAGGAAACGCTGGTGATTCGTTTGTCAAAAACATCCAATCTGTTTTGCTGTGGAAATGCCAAGGGCTTAAAACTTCGTTGTTCAAAACAAGGTGCTGTCCAGGCTATCATAGCGCAAACGTGTGCAAAGAGGCGGTGCACCCCTGCCCAAGATGAAACACAAACCGCCCACGTGCATCTAAGAAAAAATTAAAATTACGGTTTATCCAAGCCATCAACCAAAATACAATCAACAAAAACCAGAGAAACCACGCCACTTCAGAACAACAAGATCTCCTACACACCCCTTCCACAGATCACCGCTACATGTAGTCTTACAAAAAGAGGATGAACGTCACAAATAAATGAGCTACACTACTACAAATGAGAAAAACAGTGAGGCCCAGAAGAGATGCCTTCGCCCGAGCCGAACGCAACCTACGGGGACCGAACACATGATGCCAGAACGCTGCACCAAAGAGCATCATCGACCCATTTCTATGGTTGCCATATTTTTCGTACCCGGGGAACTACTTGACCAACGTATAAACAAAGCAGTCCACCGGCCGACAACGATTACGCTCATCACCAACGACAACAGCGAAAAAAAAAATGAGAAAAATGGCGAACATAAGGCGAGACGAAAAGGCCCAAACACAACCATGGGATTCTCAACAGGAGTCAGAGGTGTCCATACGATCAGCACTCTCGGCCCTTGCCCAAAGCAAATCAAGAGGTGATGTGATGTCTATCCCTCCGTGTCGCGTAGCGTAGTGTAACGTTCAAGACTTGGTCGACACCGCGAAGCCCGATAAGATATCTATCTCTTGTGACTTGTGACATTTTTTGCCCAAAACCAGAGTGTCGAGAGACCCCAGAAAGATCGTTGAGAACAGTTCTCCACTTACTTTCTCATAACTTCCCACATTCATCCAACGCGCCCATGACCGAGCCACCCCTTGCTCATCTCTTGTTAAAAAATGTTGTTGCCACACGTAACAAATTCAATGACACATGGATCGTCCAAACGCACGAAAAACACCGCCGTATAGACTCTACACTTGCAGGGCTGCCATTTCTCCGGCGAAATAGGCCCCGTGGCTGCAGCAAAGCGGCCGCACCCCCCGACGGAGTTGAGCCATCTGCCTGGATTCCGTTTCTGTACGCCTTCAAAACCGCAGACCGCTGCCTTCTAAAGCGAAGACTCACGGGACCACCAAAAGGCACACAGACAGGTGAGGTGCGCTTGCAAGCCCCAGACAGGCTTTGGTCACATGCCCCAAAACACAAAAACCTCCTGTCCAAAAAGAGAGAAGCGAAACACGTCCCCCGTCATAAGCCGAAAAAGTCCGTTAGAGTGTCTTCCACGCAAGCCTGTCGGATCTGTTCGAAGGGCTTCGGTTGAGCGTTGGACTGAGCCGCCGCCCCCCCCGCACTCTCCCTATCTCTCCCCGCCGCCGCAATTTCTCTACCCCCCCCCGCCCGCCCGCCCGCCACCCCGTTGCCCACATACGCCCCCCGCGGCGAAAAGGAAACCCCTGAAGACGACTGGGTGCGGCGACCCATGTCTCCTACCCTTGCAACCATTCCCATTCCCATTCCTCCGTTGCTATGGCCGCCGCCGCCGCCGCTGCTGTATTCGCCGCTGCCGCTGCCGAAATGGCCGCTCGATGAGGCATGCCTCTTGGGCCGTTCCTCAGACCGTTCTTGATTCCGGAAAGCCTCTCTCTCCTCCCTCTTGACCTGTTCGACTGTCTCCTTCCGCTTTGTCAGGGCTTGCGCCATCTCCTCGTCCATCTCGTGGCTCTGTTGACGGGAGAAACAAAAAATAAAATAAGACCGCGAGTTTTGATGTTACACTACACCGCAACCGCTTGGGAGTTTCCAATGGAGGTTGGAGGGCGGTCTCGCGATAAGAGCAGGCAAGCCGTGCAGCGGTAAGGTTGGCAAAAAAAAAGTGACAATGAAAATCTCTGCTGTGTGGCCTGGCCGTCGTACTGAGTAACTACAGCCGTGACTGACCCCAGCTGATGCATTAGGAAAAGAAAATTTGTAGGATGACAAGCACACGCCTGTAGCAGGAGCTGGTTAGCTGCTCAGCGAGATCGATGCCAACAACAAGAAGCTCCTCCCACACACACACGCTCCCCCTCACGACTAGTAACTCACAAGCTGCTGAAGCTCTTTGATCTTGTTGTCGCGGATGCGGCAGTCTTCGTTGATCTCCTGCGCCTTGAGTAGAAAGGCTTTCACTTTCTCCTCGTGGGCCTGTTGCATTCTTCGAACGCCTCGCTCCACCTCAAGGTGCGCTACTGCTCGCATCTTAAGGAGACGGAGCATCGGAGGGGGGGGGGGGGGGGGGGGGGGGGG